TTTTTTGAAAATAGCCTCCTACGATCGAAAACCAAAAATGCTTTAAATTGCATTTTAAAACATATCTAGGTCTTATAAATGAAAAAGAATGTTTAAAGAGGTATAAAATCGAAATTTTTTTGAAAATAGCCTACTATGATCGAAAACCAAAAATGCTTTAAATTGCATTTTAAAACATATCTAGGTCTTATAAATGAAAAAGAATGTGTATATAAATATAAAATCGATATTTTTTTGAAAATAGCCTACTATGATCGAAAACCAAAAATGCTTTAAATTGCATTTTAAAACATATCTAGGTCTTATAAATGAAAAAGAATGTGTATATAAATATAAAATCAAAATTTTTTTGAAAATAGCCTACTATGATCGAAAACCAAAAATGCTTTAAATTGCATTTTAAAACATATCTAGGTCTTATAAATGAAAAAGAATGTGTATATAAATATAAAATCAAAATTTTTTTGAAAATAGCCTACTATGATCGAAAACCAAAAATGCTTTAAATTGCATTTTAAAACATATCTAGGTCTTATAAATGAAAAAGAATGTTTAAAGAGGTATAAAATCGAAATTTTTTTGAAAATAGCCTACTATGATCGAAAACCAAAAATGCTTTAAATTGCATTTTAAAACATATCTAGGTCTTATAAATGAAAAAGAATGTTTATATAAATATAAAATCGAAATTTTTTTGAAAAAAGCCTACTACGATCGAAAACCAAAAATGCTTTAAATTGCATTTTAAAACATATCTAGGTCTTATAAATGAAGAAGAATGTTTATATAAATATAAAATCGAAATTTTTTTGAAAAAAGCCTACTATGATCGAAAACCAAAAATGCTTTAAATTGCATTTTAAAACATATCTAGGTCTTATAAATGAAAAAGAATGTTTATATAAATATAAAATCGAAATTTTTTTGAAAATAGCCTACTATGATCGAAAACCAAAAATGCTTTAAATTGCATTTTAAAACATATCTAGGTCTTATAAATGAAAAAGAATGTTTATATAAATATAAAATCGAAATTTTTTTGAAAAAAGCCTACTATGATCGAAAACAAAAAATGCTTTAAATTGCATTTTAAAACATATCTAGGTCTTATAAATGAAAAAGAATGTTTAAAGAGGTATAAAATCAAAATTTTTTTGAAAATAGCCTACTATGATCGAAAACCAAAAATGATTTAAATTGCATTTTAAAACATATTTAGGTCTTATAAATGAAAAAGAATGTTTAAAGAGGTATAAAATCAAAATTTTTTTGAAAATAGCCTCCTACGATCGAAAACCAAAAATGCTTTAAATTGCATTTTAAAACATATCTAGGTCTTATAAATGAAAAAGAATGTTTAAAGAGGTATAAAATCAAAATTTTTTTGAAAATAGCCTCCTACGATCGAAAACCAAAAATGCTTTAAATTGCATTTTAAAACATATCTAGGTCTTATAAATGAAAAAGAATGTTTAAAGAGGTATAAAATCGAAATTTTTTTGAAAATAGCCTCCTACGATCGAAAACCAAAAATGCTTTAAATTGCATTTTAAAACATATCTAGGTCTTATAAATGAAAAAGAATGTTTATATAAATATAAAATCGAAATTTTTTTGAAAAAAGCCTACTATTATCGAAAACAAAAAATGCTTTAAATTGCATTTTAAAACATATCTAGGTCTTATTAATGAAAAAGAATGTTTATATAAATATAAAATCAAAATTTTTTTGAAAATAGCCTACTATGATCGAAAACCAAAAATGCTTTAAATTGCATTTTAAAACATATCTAGGTCTTATAAATGATAAAGAATGCTAATATTCCCTCAAACCCGGTTTAAAATTAATCAAGATTTACATAAATATTTCTTGAACCCACTCAAAACCAAATATAATGAAATTCTTTTAATGGTCCATTATTCTCCTTTTTAATTTAAGATTTAAGATATCACACGGAAAAATGGATTTGAAAATTAAAATATGTTACTGATTTAATTTATAATCAATTGGATTTATTTATAATCCACCAGATTAAACACTATTTTCACTATATCTCGAGAACTAAGACGATTCACGCAAAGCGCCTAAATTTCCGCCCTACTAGACCTTTGTAGCTTTCTATTGATATACATATTAATATAATTGATTTTGAGTTGCGAGCTGTAGGTTGGGTGACAGATTTTGAACGACATAAAGAAGCTAATTGTTAAAAATTGTGAAATTCAAATAACAATTCATATTATTAGGTACGAAAGTAATAGCTGCATTTACATACATATTTGTTCTTGGCCTTAATCAAAAGTAATTATTACGCAAGAACCAGCAACATTTAAATTTTGTAGCAAGAAGTAAAAATGGTATTGAATTGAAAGTAATGTCAAGGTTAAGCACATGTACATTTCCAACTTTTGATCAACTGCACTGATAATTTTAAAGTATTAAAAACTCACCTGATAAAAAGCGCGCATATTTTTAGGTGATGTCATATGAACGACATACTTTAATGGATTTCTATTAATTCCTAAAACCAAAAGATTGTTCTGTTGCTACCGAAACAGGAAACTTTCCATCCTTCCAATTCTCAGTAAGTATGCCTAAATTCTTGTATTTCAGAATATATAAATGAAATCTTTTCTGTATAAAATCAATTGCGATATCGACAATATTATGATGTTGAGAATTATTATGAATGTGAATATTGATAAAACAAAATTATTTTCATATATTTCCTTAGTCTTAAGATTGACTATTTATGTATTTTCACAATGAATATATTTCCTTGAAATTTCTTATATTGAAAAATTCATTTATTTCAAATTATCTTCATACATTTTTAATTGATTCATATTTGTTACATATTTCAAATTTCAATTAACCTGAATATTAGATTGAAATTTAAAATTTATCAATATTTTAACCAAAATATAAAAGATTTCTTTTAACAGATTTTATTCACTTATTGTCGTTACTCAAGGTAAGTCAACGTCGTTGATTAAAGTGTCGAGCTGTTGATGTCAAAGCAGTGCTTCTTAAAGGATACTTACAGTGTAAATTGATTGGTATTTTGACTAGTTTTCTATGAAAAATATGCTTAGTTATTTTTCAAAAATTTCATTTGGGTTCTATTAAATAAATTTTGATATTAGATATAATTGTTGCTGCTGCAAAAATGATCCAGAAAAGTGTGATAAATAAGTAATTCAAGTGTTCATTTCTTTAAAAACATTTATTCAATCAGTGCTTTTAACATTATGAATTATAATGAATCAAGAAAGTGCAATAAAAACTTTTTCAAACAATAAATTATCTTGGATTTTAATTAAAAACATGCTTGCAAGCTCGACTAGTCATAAGTTTAATGTTAAACTGCATTCATAATTCTGTTGCTATATCCCGAAACACAGTTGTCGCATCTGCTTTCACATGGCTTTATAGCTTCTTCACAAATGCTCATTGCAATGAATTGGTGACGACACAAACAAGTTCTTATGTAACTTGATACTTCAAAATTTACATATCCAGTCTGTGGTGTATAAATGACCCTTGAACTTCCTCCATGAACGTTTATTTTTCCGGATCGCTAAAAAAGGAAGTATTAGTAAATTTTAATTGATTTTCGAGATTTTAAAGATTAACAGGATAATGCAAATATGATTTTGGTATTTACCTGATGACATAAAATGGACAAATTTTAGTAAACTTGTGCTAATTGCCACATTGAATGCTCCTTCATGTGTTACCAAAATTGGAAATATTCCTTCTTTCCACTTCTTCAAAATTGTATGACTCTCATCTTTCATTAAATGATAAGACTCGCTTGGAACTCCTGATTTGCTAAGCTGTTCTGCAATATCATCTGCTTCTTCATAGTTTTCGCAATAAATAATTCCGGCATTATAAGTCTTTTGTGTTTCATCTTCAAGCTTTACTGTTGGTTCAATTAAGTCGAATATCATATCTTTGAGGTTGGACTTATCTTTTAAAAATTTGACATCTTGGAAAATATCATTGCGTACGCATGATTTTATGATAAATTTTGTGTTTTTCATCGACAATGAAGATGCAATTTTTTGAAGAGCATTATGAGAAGCAGTGGTAAGTGCAATCCATGGAATATTTGGAAATTCGATACGCTTCCTTCTTAATTCTTGGTATGATTCTCTGAAATTTGTATCCACAAGCATTTGAGCTTCATCGACTGCAACTAAACAAACGTGTGTTTTTAACAAATAATCAACAAATAGTTTAACCTTTTCACTTCCATACACCATCATTTCGGGTGTTACATAAAAGAACAGATAAGGACAATTTTGATTATCTCTAAATGACTCAATTATGGCATCACGATCAATATATGATGTTTTACTTGTTATTGTCGTTGCTGGGATGTTCAATTCTGTTAAGAATTCAATTTCAATTGTTATGCGTGAGATATGCGAAGAAATCACGAGAACAATACCAGATGACCAAAAGAATCTTGGCATCAAGTAACAAAGTGACTTTCCAGAATTTGAAGGCATTGATATTATTACATTCTTTTCTATTCCTATCACTAAACACCTTACTGCCATAATTTGTTCACTGTTCTTAAAGGCATTATGTTTGAATTTATTTTTTAAAATTTCAAAATAGTGTTCCTTTGTGTAATGTGACATATTTGCAAATTCAAAAAAAATCACACTTATAAGTTTTCTACGTCCTTATCAATCGACTTCATTCACTCAAATGAAGAAAAAATTTGCATTTTGTAGTCAAAAATGTCTCATGAGCTTTAAATAAATAACTAGTTTCGCACACAAGTGGACATCTTGCAAGTATGTAGATAAATTTTGAAATTTTCATCTTGCGACGAACATACTAGATGATATTAAAGATAAACAAACATTCTACAGACAATTAAAGTTGCGTTCGGATACATGAAAGAAAACAAAAGACGTTTATTTATAAATAGACTTAAAAAAATATTGTTCAATTTTAATGTATAATTAGATTAGAATTTCACAACATTGAATCACTCATTATCAAATATAAAGTATGTATTTAAATTTAAAAGTAAAAATTTGAAAAATTTAATGCTTAAATTGAGAGCAGAAGTAGATTAGACTTAGACTAATTTATATTTAATTAAAAAAACTCTATAGCTTAATTTTTCAAAATTAAGGACTTAATCTTCTAGTTTCTGACAATTCTAATTTTCAGAAGATTTCCTTTTCCTATTTATTCTTTCTGATTTTAAACAATTGTCACAGTTGTCTTTGCAAGGCTCAATTGCTTCATCACCAAAGTAATTCGCTATGTATTGATGACGACATCCATTATGAGTTGCATAATCTATGATTTCTTTGCTGACAAGTCCATTTGCCTGGTAGACTAACCTTGAAAATCCAGGAAATGTGTCGATACGGCCTGATTGCTAGGAAGAGAAATTCAGGGTTCGAAGGTTATTGCTGCATTTTCATATTTGCTCTTGACCTTGATCAAAAGTAATTATTACGCAAGAACTAGCAACATTTAAATTTTGTAGTAAGTAGAAAAAAAGGCATTGAATTGCCAAGCACATATACATTTCCAACTTTTGATCAACTGCACTGATAATTTTAAAGTATTATAAACTCACCTGATAAAAAGCTCGCATATTTTTAGGTGATGTCATATGAACGACATACTTTAATGGATTTCTATTAATTCCTAAACCAAAAGATTGTTCTGTTGCTACCAAAACAGGAAACTTTCCGTCCTTCCAATTCTTTAAAATCAAATTGCATTCATTTTTAGTTCCATAAAACGACTCGCTTGAGATTCCAGATTCACACAGTTCTTCAGCTATACGATCAGCTTCTTGATTCATTTGGCAGTAAATAATGCCTGAATCATAAATTTTCTTTGTGACATGCTTTTCTTGCTTCTTATCAGACTCAATCAAATCTTCGATCAACTCTTTTATGCTTGAATTTACTGGGATTTTCCTCACATCATAAAATATATTTTTCCTGGTGCTTGGACCTTTAATAATTTTTGGATCTTCCATATTTAAAGCTTTTCCAATCATTTTAATTGATTCAAGAGATGCAGTTGTCAGTGCCACCCACGGAATATCCGGAAACATTTTTCTAATGGTACGCATTTCAGAAAAGCAATGTCTAAAGTCAATTCCAGTATCAATTATCATATGAGCATCGTCCATCACAATTAAGGAAATATCACCGTCAGCCATCATTGTCTCAATCAAAAAGCGAATACTTTCACTTCCTTTAATTAACATTTCTGGAGTTAAATAAAGAAATTGGTAAGGATTTGCTTTTGAATCTTCAAGCCGATCAATTAAATCTCGACGAACTAAGCGCGGTGTAATACCCGTCAATGAAGTGACTGGAATTCTTAAGTCTGATAGATATGCAACTTGATTCGTGATCAGTGAGATGTTGGGAGATATAACAAGAACTACACCGGATCTTTGAAGTGCTGTTCTAGGCAGTTGATAGCAAAGAGATTTTCCAGACTGAGTAGCCATCGATATTATTATATTTTTGTATTTTTCACTAGCAATGCACTCAGTGGCTATCTTTTGTTCCTCACTTTTGAAACTAGAGAAATTAAAGCTTTCTTCTAGAGCGAGTTTGTAGTCTTGTTCTGAATAGGAACACATTTTTGTATGTTTATTTATTTAATATCTTAATATTTCTACTTTGTGTGACTGCTAAAAACCACGCGTGTGAACCAGTCAATGCACAACACTTGAATGCAGAAATTCTCTCTGTCTTATTTCGCTTGTTCTCCTTAAAAATACTCTCAGTTGTTGAGCATGCTTATCTTTTTCCCGCATAAATTTTAAATTTGGAATCTTTATCGCACATGCACAATATTTGCGAAAATGAAGCGCTGCTTTAAAAGAGAATTCAAAATTTTCCACAGCATGTGATCAACTGTTGAAGAGTTGTTCTAATAGAATTGAAGCAGACATTTAAACAAGCTTGTAGGATGTTTTGTGAAATGATTTTAACATCCATGGCTAGAAAGATGAAAATCGCTTAGAAATCAATATTCAGGTATTAAACTGTATTTCTCTTGGAATACAAATGCATAACAGATGAACAGAAGGATGTTTATTGATTTCACTTTATTGACAGATCCTTTCCGATTTTTATGATGGCTGATTATAAATTTTTATTGCAGCTTCTTGTTAAAAAATGTGCACGTGTAGTTTCAGTAAGAAAATTACAACAAAGAGCACAAAGATAAAGAACCTCTTTTGTTGTCTATTGTGCATCCCAAATTCTAAGAAAAATGAGATTTTCTACCTGAGGCAAATCATTCAGTCTACTGACAGCAAACAAATAAATGAAAGCCATAAAGCTTATTTTCTGTAATTTTTTTATCAAAAACTTGTTCTTCCTTTCATAATGGAATCAAGCTTTCAAGAGTTGTTTTTGTAACATAATGTAACATAGGGGGGGGGGGGGGGGGGTGTCAAGAAGTATGTAACGTTCTAATTTTTTTTTAAATTTTCCACCTTTGATATTGATATTGATGTTTATTGTTACCGAAGGTATTACTGATCATATGTTTAGTTACATTAAATTATTTAAAATATACACTTAATTCAAAAGTAAGTTAAGTTTGAACTTGAGGCCAATCGCTCGAAAAATCGATAAAAACTTATACCTTTTTATCAAAAAAAAATAAATTATGAACGTTCAGGGGGGGGGGGGGGGTGTTGTGAGTTGTAACATATTGTAACAAGAGTGAGAAGGGGGGGAGGGGGGGGGGGGTGAAAAAAGTCGTTTTTTTGCGTAACGTAATAAGTGAACGGCCCCAAACTAAATTGTGATGTTACTTGATTCCTTAACGATATCTTGAACATTTTCATTTGCTTTAAAGCTTTTCAAGTTTCTCAAAGCAATAAATGAAGTTCAAAAGTCATTAAAAAATTCTTTATTTTCTTAACTCCTTTCAAACGAAGATGAAACTTCAAACAAATTTCAAGTTCAACAACCACATCATTATCATGACTTTCTTTTTTAATAAGACTTAAAAAGAAATAAGTAAGTGAAATATCAATGACGGCAGACATGAAATGAAAACGTCATTTGAAAAAGAATTGCTGATGTTATTTGGATCATTTTAATTAACTTGTTGCGAACCTCAAAGAATAATTTTAATTGAGAACTTTTCTCATAAAAGTCTTGAATCATTAAGAATCAAGTAAGGAAGTAATGGAAGAAGAGTGATGATAATTTAAGATCAATTGTGTACAAAAGGAATTTTAAAGATTAATGTCCTTCAATGAAGTATTAAAGGAATCCAAATTTTGATTGTAAGTTATTGGGTAAGTTCTGGAAAATTCTTTGTTTTGATGAAATCTAACTCCTTGATTCGTTAAAGCAGCTTTGATGTTTGATTTGACTTTCAATATTTTCTGATTTTAAGTTCAGATAAGTTCTTAATATTTATTATTTATATAAAATAAGAATCAATTACCTTCCAAGAAAACCAATGAGCTCATCAACTTCTTATTATGTTTTTTTTTCATTATCAAGAATTTCTAGAAAGCCTTTATCTCAAATATTAAACAAAGCTTGATTTCCAGATCTGCGTTGTTAACTTATTACGATTACAATTTCAAATCAAAAGAATCTTGCAATCTTTCTCAGTAGGTTTACCATAAATTTATCTTAGATTTCATAAATCCAGTCTGCTAGACAAATTCAACCCAAATAAAGCTAATCTCTTTCCACAAAAAATGCTCTGAAAATCCACAACGACAAAACTTTTTCATGCAAATAAAACTGTAAAACCGCATCATAAAAATTCATCATCTCATCCATGTTGAATGCTTAAGACAACCACGATAGAGACAAAAGCATTTTGTTGTAGGTTCTGTAAAAAAAATCACGGCAACAAAATTTTTGAATTCTTTTTTTTTTAATTTAATTTTATTACAGATTCACTTACATCAATGATATTAATGTTGATTCTTCTTTATTTCTTACATTTATGCCTATCATATTCGTTTATTATCAACATAATTTTCAATATCAATGAGCAATAAGAGGAGAAGTCAATAAACTTTGAAATTTTTCCTATAAATAAATTTTTATCTTCTCATTTTCTTTATGTTTTAATTAAAATTGTTCATTTTTTAAATGCTATCGAGATTCTCACTGTTGATCATGGTGATGGTTGAGTTTAAGTTTGCCTGAGAGCTACTTGATGTTTTTTTAAAAAAGTAAAAAAATTTTCCCCAAGCTAGAAAATCTTAAAGACGTGTCTAAGCTTAAGAAAATCAAATTTCACCGTCAAGAACTTTCAAGAAAACTTTACAGCTCAACAAAGCACATCTTTTCAAAATTACATGCTCAGATTTCTTTATTGCTGCAATATTGAAGTGTTGGATTTCCAAAATGATTGATATTAAACGGATCAAAGTCAATCTCGATATATTTGAGTGACACTTGAAATTTCAATGTGATTCATTTTTTTTGCAAATGTTTGAAATCTGGTGCGAAGTTAGAAGTTTACTTTAAGGATGAATCTTTCGTATCGAATTCAACTTGGTAGCCAGAGAACTTTTCATGAAGATTGCAATAAACTCTTTTGTAACTTGAATCTTAACTGATCTTCTTTAGAAGATCAACAGAGTTGCACATCTAGAAGACAATGATCATTATTATTAGCGATTAAAATATTCCTTAAGCCATTCTAGATCTAAATAAGAGCTTCTAATTTGTGACACAGGAGTGAATAGCAAATAGGTTAGTTTGAGCACATCTAACAGCACCAAAACCAATCTAAAGTAAAACCAATTTTCAATCAACCATGAACATGATCAGCTCATCGAAGAATCTCATTAAAAAATTGTCTCTATTTATATTTATTTACTTCCATTGGATGGCATTTAACGATATCAAAAAAATTTACTTTTCTTAAAATTACATCTGTTTATCTTTATTTTCCTTGCTATTATTACTTTTAATATTAAATTTAATGACAAACATTTTTTTTTATTTCTCATACAGAAGTAAATTTTTATGGAAATGTTATGAATTTTGAGCAGCAAAAGTTTCTTCAGAGTTGGTTTTATTGAAGTTTATTTGATTTTTACTCATAATTCTTTAAAATTGTCAAGAATTTCATTAAGTTTTGGCGCAAGTTTAAGTTGTCATCTAGAATCTTGCCTTAAATGCATTCTTAAGTTTGACGAATTTTAATTTCTATATAATTTTAGACTTACACCTAATTCAAAAGAAGTTTTTATAACATTAAGTCAACCAACTCTGAATATTTTCTCACGATGATGACAATTTATGCATGACATGTAAAAGGAATTTGGGTGGGTAGCACAAAAGAATATTCACAAAAAAAAAATTATTTTCATCTTTTAACTTTTTTTTCAGCAAGACACGAGCTATGGAAACAAACTCATAAATATCAACTGTACAGAAAAAACTTTACTTTCATAATATTAACTTCAATATTTGTTCACCAAGGAGACAACACTCTGTGACTATTCACAGCATTATGTAGGATTTGGAAGAGCACATGAGAAGCTCAAAAGTCATTTTCATTTGAAAGGAAATGTAAGACATGTACAAGGACGTATAGGATGTCCAATGTTGTTTACGAATATTCTCTTTCATGTTTCTTGACTTTTTTCACTTCTTATGTGTGCATATTTTATGAGGATAGCATGGGAGACGTGCCAGTTTGCAAACATTTTTGTCTTCCTTTTTTAATGGTTCTTTGCATGACATTGGGATAACTTCTGTTGCTGGATGTATGAAAAATCTAATTAATGTCTTTTGGGAGTCGTTCCTTTATGATGTCACATATTTTTTGGAGCTCAATATCCAGAATTTCGATTGACATCACTTACTTGTGACCCTTTGCGGTTCACGACTAGTCACAATGTTACAGAATCACAAAGTAACCACCAGAAATAGCAATTAAAATACCTTTAACTGTCACAACGAGTAAAACCAAATCAGGAAAAAGTAAAAAGATAAAATAAAACCAGAACGAATGAGATATAAAGTCTATCTTGTCACAAAGCATAAGCCATATCGTCTTTCCACATCATTCTATACATACGTAATAGACTCAGCTTTTTGGAATAAATGAAGAACAGAAAGAAATTTGTACAAGAGACATCATGGCGAGACTGTGAACATTAGAGTATAAAAAAGAAATTATTTTTGGGATCTGAACGGATGGGCGACTTTGCCTCTGTGTTCAGATGGAGAAAATTGAATTTGGAATTAGTCTACGTAACAAAATCCGACTGTGGTAAGAGACCGCAGGGATACAAAATAAAAGTTCTGGTTACTATTTGTCATACAGCAATTAGCATTGTGGCTTGACTGCTTCGAGTAATACGACGAAAAACTTTTCAAAGCAATTAGCTGAGAGAAAAACTTTCATAAATCCAAAAATTATAGTCAACAGAATCTATGATTTGGCTGCGATCAATTAAATAAATTCTCATATTTCCAGACAATCCATACCAGACAGAGACAGTAACACAAATTGTCTGTGTAATATTTCTTTAAAGTTTCATCGCCCACATCCTTCATTTGAATACATTAATTACAAGTCATCTCTTCCAATTTTAATACCACTTGGTAATTACATTCTGTTATCAATTTTTGAATTATCGTTAGCTATTATCATCCGAATTAATTATAAAGTGAGAATCTGTTGAACTTTAGATTTTGTATGGGATTGGGAGAGAATGAGAGAAATGAAGCTGAATAGGTTTATTGGATTGGAAAATTGTGAAATTGGGTGACTATGCAAAAAAGTTTACTGCTAAAATATTTTGCTGTCACAGCAACTATTGGTCGATTATGTATTGTGATGTCGTCAGCATTGAAGCTTATCAAATAGACAGCAATATTCGTAACCGACTGAGAAGTCAGGCTTAGATAGGTATCAAACCTGTGTCTCCATAGAGTCATAAATTCCTAACATGTTACCTAACCCTTCAAATATGGAGAGCCTGCTCTCATATTGAACGATTAAGCTATAGACAGCTCTGATCCGACAACATAATATTTTCAATTCAGAACCTTGAAATCTACATAAAATATTGAATAATGTTCAAGAATAAATTGTTTTATCTTGACAGACATACATAAATGCCTAGTAGACTGTACATGATTGACATACAAGTAAATATCCATACATAATAGTCAACCTATCAGTCCATGAACTTGATAATGCATCTGTGATGATGAAATTCAGTAAAAAATCATTGATGCAGAAGAAAAACAAGCACATCAGCATCATCTAGCATTTTCTATCATGCACAACCATTACATTTGACTGATGACGACCAAGTTTATCATAACAAAAGTTCCAAAGTGTCGTTTACAGAGCAAAGACGAAGTTGTGTAATGAAAAATGCTACGAGAATGTCCTTACGTCACACGACTGACATAATACTCTTTTGCATGAACTTTCTAACATCATGCATGCAGTATTTTATCATTCTCATTCTCTCCCTCCCATCCCACAGCTTGCCCTCAAAGTTCAACAGAAGAACAAAGGAACATAAAAAGAAGGAAATGGTTAGAAGAAGAGATAGAACATGCAACATGAACGAATAGATGATGATAACATTCTCTTTAACCTTCTTGCAATGCTGGTGTAATCCATCCATATTTATCGTGTGTTTTTACAAGCGACCTAAATGCGTCCTCTGCTGTTCGACGATTAAATTCTTTATTAACTTTTGACTTCCGACAAATTCTTCCCTGTCCTTTCACCAAACTAGCAGCAAATTGCATAAGGACGGCTTCTATTGTGTATGCTGATGCCCATCCTCTTGGTGTTAGTAGCTCCATACAGATTGCACCGCCTTCCATGACATAGCCTAGAATGGATAGAAATGAGAAGAAATGTTAAAGCTTTAAGAAGTCACGAACAGATGCTGTGTAACTGTGATACTAAGAGGAAGTAATAAGATGACATGTGGGAGCAATCGATATATTTCAATCATGTAATAAAGTTCAATTCTAAATGATTGTTATTAAAAGGGCATGGAATGCTGTAAAGGGGTCGTTTATAAATGACGTCTTTTGTTAAAAAAGCTCCTAAGGATTATGGAAAGTTACTAAGCTCTACTCTGAGATGCTAGACATCATTTGAAAGCGATTCTTTTAAGAACAACAAAACAAACTCGAAATCATGTCCATCTTCAAGTTATCCATAGCATTAACGTTTATCCTTCACGCTATTTAGACATCCTTAATAGTTTCCTTACCTTTCTCAATTCTCGGTTCAACCACACGCATGAATGGCGGAGCAAATGGAAAATTATCAGGAAATATTAAATGCAGGAGTATAAATGGTACATCCAATTCCACCATGTCTTGTGCTAATGGCGACTCGTGATCAATCTTAAATAATTTTACATGCCATTCGAATAAATTATCATTAATCAAATCAGCCTGTTTTGGATCAGAAAGAAAGAGAAGCAATATTAAAATAATTTTCATGTCAATTTCCACATGACCGACCTAGTCGCGTCAGAGAAAAACAAGAGAATTAAATTTACCGTGAATATTCTATCGTCCTTTAAATCTCCCTGTTGCTTTTGCAGGTCTTTTAACTCTTTCATTAAACGTTTGGCTCGAATTGTCGAATCAATTTTCGGTACGATTGGAAGCTTTGCCTTACCGCTGCTTGGTGCTATTGTATTGCTATAAATCAAAAAAAAAATGCAAATTTTTCTCTGCGTTAATAAAAAATGACTACAAAGTGATTCCTCCTTTTTTATCAGTATCAATTTTAAATTACTTTCAATGACCAATTAAGCGAGCAACAATGATGAATGTTAATGACGCTATTTGTCAACAGATACAGAAATTAAAATAAAATGAATTTAAAATGAAAATTAAATGTAATTGCGCGTATGGAAAAATAATTATCTTTTGTAGGCAGCAAGTGAATACAATGTAAAGCATGGTAGACTATTATGGTGAATGAGGAGTTGGTGAAAATTACTGTAGCGATGTGTCTTATTTGTTTGGAATTATTCTGTAAGAAGGGGTTGTAATTTTGAATAGCTGCAGGTTGCTGATTCCAAAACTCTACGTTCGGATTAGTATGTGGTGTTATTAGGTTTAAAAGGGGGTTCACCCGAATGGTACAAGTCGGTTAATCGAATAGCTTCGATTTAAATCCAGTACCATGACAGATTCACACTAGCTTGATGCCGGTTTTCTGATCGATTAACCGACTTGTTCCATTCGGGTTAGGGATATAGCTATAGCTACAGCTATGATACAATCTTTGTTGGTAGCTTTGCCAATAGTTTTGACACTGACTATGCTTTTAATTTAAGAACAGATCAAAAATCTAAACTAATGAGATGATTAGGAAGCAATATTTCTCTTTGGTTACTGTTAAGCTCCACGTCTAGACAGGAATCGGGTCTAGACATAATAAGCACTGACAAACACTCTGATAGGATCCCAACAAAGTACAGAAACACATCCAGACAGGCATCATAATAAACACTAAAACACATCCAGACAAGAATCACTCTAATCACTAAAAAACACATCCATTATGCGCCGTCTATTCATTTCTCATCCCCATCTCATCCACAACTCATTAAATTCATTATTTTGCAATTTAATTAATTTAAACAACATTCGTAAAGTGCATGAAATTTTATGGAACTCATGCAGTGGTAATTTAAATTGCATTTTTTTACCCCTTTTATTTGTGCGAATGCATGAGTGAGGAAATTTAATGCAATTAGTGGTGATGACGAGTGAGAGTGCTGGTAATGTGAAGACTCAAAGAGCAATTTCTGACGCTTTTAACAAAAAATTTGTTGAAAATGTTTTTGAAGTGTTGTTGCGGTGATTGCCATGAATAATTGTGCTGAATCCATTGAAATTAAAAATGCTCTTTTGAGAATGAAAAGGAAGTGTTTTTAATGGATATGAAATTGTCGTTAACTATCAAACATTATGTGACTGACCCAGACATCGTCACGTAAAACAACAACACATAATGCAACAGTCGACAGACGTCATAAAGTCGTTTGATAAAGGTTCAATCCAACGAACAGCTTTCAACAGCTCAATTTACATAATTTTAATCATCTAATGCGTAAATTCACAAGATAGCAATTCCTTATGAAATTTATTTTGTTTGCAGTCATTCCATTCATGGCAATAACTCTGTCGTAGCTTGAAGAAGTAAAAAAATTATGCGATGGCAAATTTCTCTCGCTTTTATAAGCCATATCGCATACAATAAAAAAAAAATGGAATCTACTCAACAGCACGATATATACAATGTATGAAATCTCTTGTGACTCATAAAGCACACATGTGCGGTCGTAGATCTATAAAAAAAATATCTTTCTAAACAAAAGTGGAAAGCTTTTGCTGCTACTGCTGCTTTTGTTGATGTACACGCATTTTTATTTGCTTTATTGTGGAGAACACGAAAACAATGTTTTTTAGAGAGACATGAGCAAATATACAAGCAGCTGCGTCTCTTATTTCCTTTTGTGAAAATTTTTAAATTATTTCTCCCAAAGTGAAAATTTGTGCATGCTCGTTTGGATATTGAAATTGTGGGAAACAAGACAAACAAGATTGAATGATGATTGCATAATAAATAGAGGATATGAGGCTTCGGGATGTTTCTTTTTTGGGGATTAATGTGTTTAAAGCTACGTTATCTTTTTATTTTGTAAGAACCTCAACAAGTTTAAGAAGTTAAGGATGAAACGCAGGAAAACACAATTTTAGTTCTTAAATCATTGAAACTTATTAATTATATATAATTAAAATGTAATAATGCCATGACACGGTCTGGCTCTTAAAAGCTTAAAATAAAATAATAATAATAATAATAATAATAATAATAAATTCAGAAATCAAAGACTGGTTCCTATCCATAAAGGGTACAGAGGGTTTGGTATTACGTTGGATGCATCTCAGCCTGTAGCAACTTTCGTCTATACATCACTTTTAATTTCACATCAATTTCGAGGTCTAAAACACGTGTTCTAGGTTGAGTAAAAAAAAATTTTATGCTCTTCAAGAAACACTAAACTCATCTTATCACACAGTTATCCCCAACGACTGCAAACAAAGAAAACTTCAGTTTGATTCGAAAAATTCAAACTGAAATTCGAAAAATTTCGAACTGTTTCGAACTATTGAATTTTTTAAAAAAATTAATGATCGTTAGGGAATTAATAAAAATATATTTATTCTAGTTATTTTTTGAAGCAAAATTATTCCTTTTATGTACCAATCGACTTTGAAATTGTAATTTTACTCTAAATTCAACAAAAACTTTTAATAATTTATCAATTGTATCTTGACAATGTTCAAAATCGACTTCAATTTGTGCAATTACTGTATTAATGAATTTCTGGTTAAAGGAAGGATCAGAACATAAGATAAAACAATTAAGCTGTCTATAAATAAATTCAAGAATACACAAGAAATATTTTTTTTCACAGCAATATTCAATATTATGCAATTTAAGAAATTCAATCCACTTATCTTTATGCACAGAGCTTTTTGGAAGTTCAAACAGAGGAATTTTATTGGTTTTCTTTCCTTTACAACCAGTAATTACACAATTTCTGACTATTTTAAAAAAATGAAATTTTATAAATTCAATAAAGACTAAGAAATGTAAACAAATATTTTCAACGGAAATTTTAAATTCAAATCAAGTTCGAAAATGAAGTACCTATTTCCGAAAATGAGTTCTTGTTTGCAGTCGTTGGAGTTATCCCAACTCCAATTTTTCAGGATAACTTCGTGCTAAATCCTCAATTTCATAGCTTAAAACAACCACACAACACAAACAGGATCGATATAATAATAGTAAACAAAACCCCACAGATATAAATCATTGAAAAGCACTACATCATGATGAGTTATGATGAAAATATTTCACCACTTCCACACTATTTCCGCATATTCACACACATACATTTAGCACACACACAAAAAGAACCGACAAATTGCGGACGAAAGAGGAAATTTTCTACCTCATTAGCAATAAACTGCTGTAAAAAAAGTTGATTTTCACCTTCAATCATTTTTCCATTGCATCAAAATTGACGAAATGAAATGAAAATTGGAAAAGAAAATGTTTTTTTCTTTACGGTAAGTAACTCAATCGTTCATAAAGTAATTGATGATGATAAAATGAAACGTGAAATTGTAAGAATTGAGGAATCTATGAGCATTTTTATGTGCTTCTCATGTGATGTGTAGGATGCTTAAATTGTGGGGTTATTTGCACGAAGGTGGACAATAAGGATAAGGGGTCGTTCATTTATGACATCCGATTGACATAAACGTTCATCTTTCAAAAAAAAAGCAATGGAATTCCAGGAATTTTTATTGTTTTTTTTTTCTTGCTGACCCCCCCCCCCCCTCCCCCCCAATGGATGTCTTAAGTGAACGGCCCTTAAGCAAAAATAGTATTTCTTCCTCTGGGACGGAGAAAGAAGGTTCTTGGCGTCATGAAAAAATGACAGCAGTTTTCTGACTAGACCCCAAGCGACACCCACCCTTGCTACGACTTTGTTCTCCATCAGAAATCAGCTTTTGTAATCCTCTTATGACTTTTTTCTTGCTCTCGTTCGTAATTTCTAGAATTCATGGGAAATTGGTCTAGTGGTGGAAATTAAGAGCATGAAAATACCTCACTGTAAGCTGTAGATGGAAATTTTTTAAGTGTTTTGTGTTTATTTTTATGAAATGAAAAAGAAAAATGTTTGAAAAATCGCACAGGAGATGTTTTTGATGGGAACCTTGAAGTGAGGTTTGTTTTCAATCGTGAGATTGCAATTTTTTAAATTGCTTGGTTTTTTTTTGTTTTTCCAGGTACGAGGAAATTGATTGGATGACTTTGAAACATTTTCGTCGATTGTTTGAATTAGAATGGAATTTTGAAGATTTAAAGGAAAAATGAAATTTAAAAAAATGTCGGATCATAGTAAAGGGCCATTCACTTATGACGTCCAATGGGATAGAGCGGGAAGCTCAGCAAGAACAGAAGAATAGAAATTTCTGGAAATCCATTGTTCTTTATTGAAAAATGACCGTTAATTTCGTACGTCATAAGTGTACGACCTGTAAGGATATTAGCCAGGGTTTTGTGTTGGCCTCAGTTTATTTTGCTACTAAAGTTTCTAGTTTCTTGCAATTTCTCTTAAAACCAGACACACAGACTGACCAAATTCATTCCTCAGTAAGTTCCATATTTTGTTGCCAAATTTATTTTAAGCACATATTCCTCCTTATTCACTTAATAACAATGTATTTTTTTGGTATAAAAATTAAAATGCCTCAAATTCTTTAATATGGAAAGGACATGCTCAAAGCTATCAAACATTTAATTCGGACACAATTACATCGCCTACAAAGTTCCAAATAGACAATTTAAAAGCAATCATTTCCTCACCATTTAACTCTCCTCGCTGGACTTGCTACGACATTTTTATTCACATTTATTTCCTCTTGTTGCTGTTCCGTGTTATTAGAGCTATTGTTATTGTTGATATTATTATTGTTATTATTATTATTATTGTTGTTTGTCGTTGCACCAGCAACTTTATCCTTTGACGAACTTTTAAAAATTTTCCTGAAAACTGCCTTCATCGTATCCTTCTTGTTTCGCTTGTGGCTCACAGAAATGTTTTCTTCATTTAGTCTTTTTTCTTTATTATTATATTCTATCTGATGCAACACTAGTTTGTCTTCTTATTATCACTTTCTTCTTCCTTCTTTCTCTTGACTCGACTGAATGAGAACTAACACTTTCCTCGTTTGATTATATTTTTATTTTATTTTCTATGTCACAGAGACATCAACATTGCATTTATAATCTCACTCTACGTCTATAGAGTTTATTCAACCTTTAATAGCTTGCTGTCTATGTGCACTATTTATTATTATTCCTTTACAGATTAAATTTAATCATTATCTCTCCTCTCTCACTTGATTCACTTCACTTATCTCATAAATAAATGGAAACTTTCAACTCTAATAAAAAAAACGAGAACTCCAACTTCATTAGAACTTTATGATGTACTTGATAATTGGCTTTCACACTGACTCTGCTTGACGGTGATTTTTATTTTGTTGCTGTTATGATGAACAGAAAGATTATTGTGAGGAAAAAATGAGCACTGCAGAGATATGAGAAAGTTTCTGTTTGCCTCAAAATTGTTTAAAGTTTTTTGCTGAATTTAATTGCTGTATAGTTGAGATGTTCTGTAATGAAAGGAAGCAGAAGAGGGAATTGAAATATAAAAAACTTGAGATTATAAAGTTTTGTGAAAGCTTGAACAAAAAATTGTGATTAGTTTTGTGGTTTGGAACACGGAACGCTGTTGGCTTGGACTAAAGATTCTTGGCTTCACCCCCAACCCACTGTAGGTGCTGTAACCAAAACATTGATATTTTGTAGATTAGTATACTAAAAAATGGCTGCAGTCTAGAAATAACAGGTTTACTTTCATGACTGTATGCTACTCGGCATTAAAAATTACATCACATTCTATAGACAAATTTACTTAATTCCGCATTCATGATCCCGTAACATGTCATTCCGTTCCACACAAAATCTATACTCCCACCCACTTCCAAATACTTCACAAAATAGCCAGCTTAAAAAATTATCAAGATCTATAAATATCCATGTCCATTACCAGCCACACAATATTAACACCAAAATAGCTTTACAGCAGCAAAAAAAGTTGCACCAAAAATAATTCACAAGCATTTTTCTGCTTGCTTTCAAACGAGAAACTTTTCAGCATCAACTCAACGACTGCACAAAAAAGGACATGGTGAGAAAATAGGACAAAGTTTCACATCGTCACCTTTATTTTCATCGTCTCATATGTAAGTTTAATCTCGAATTACTAATCGTTCCGTGATACGAGGATTGAATATTTAATTGAAATTGACTGCAGTGCAGCTAGAGATGGACATGAGAGAATATCTAAAGTTTTAAGGTAAAGTTCAATTAGGAATTAATTTCTACTGTATGATCTCTGTGGAATAAATGACTCAATACGATTTGCAAAGGATAAAAGCTAGCTTTTAAGTTTCATAGTGGATTAAAGTTGTGGAATCTTGTTGGTAATTTAGAAAAATCAAGCTGAACGGTAAGTTTTTCAATAATCTTTTTTGAGCGGCTTCAGCTTCTTAAGAGGATGTCTAAACTGTTTCTGACCTGTGACCTGTGACCATCATGTACCCTCTAGCCAAGCCCCTATATAAAGGAATAAAAGTTTAAAAATTTTGGTTCCTGTTCTTATGAACCTGCTTTGTGAACAAACCCACAAAAAATAATTTTCTTAGGGATGCTAGAAATTTGTTTCTGTTCCTCTCAAGTCCATTAAAAGAACAAAATTTCTGAATTGTGCAAATAAATGTAAACACACCATAGCTCTGCATAATTTAATTTTCTAGACCCATAAGTATATTGAGGGAATTTCTATGGTAATTTAAAGTAAGGTTAAGTGATGCAAATACTACACATTTTCGTTCCGATCCTTCCAAGAACATAAAGCTTGCATAGAGCAGGGTTTCTCAATCTTTTTTATCTGCTCTGGAAACATACTAGGTCAGTGGTTCTCTACTAAGCTATAAGCGTCAAGTACGACGTAAATATGCATGGTTAAATATGTTCCACTGAATAAAGATTGAAAAACTTTACAAAGTGTGCCGCACATCATAGTTTAAGCACCACTGACGTAGAATGATAAAAATAAATTCGAAAAATAAAAGAAAATGTAAAAATGGCTCTAAAATAATTCTTAATTAAACCCCCAAGTGAGTGAATTTCATGCAGAATTGTCGTGAATAATTGAATTCATTAAAGGTTCTATTTTCTCATCTCTTCTTGTACCTTTAGTGACAACGAATTAATGAATGTCGTTATAATTGACATGGAAAAAAGGGCAATAAAGGAAATTTATTTATAGAAAGGCATGATTTGCTGAGTAATAAAATAAATTGTAAGAGCAGCCTCAGGTGCATTGGATGTGAAAATTAAATTAAATTTCAAAGAGCAAAATTCAATTAAAATTCATTTGTAGCTTCATGACAAAAATAATTAATGAATATATTGTCTGCCTAATATTTCAGCTATAGCTTTCATTAAAATTCTATTATTTAATGCACTGTGAAATTTCTCGTCCTGCTATTCTTTTTTTATTCAAAATTTATAGGTATTGAAATATTCAATCAGTTTTTTTCCTCGCCACATTTGCCAATCCATACGTGAATGAGGATAAAAAAAAGTTCATGCAGGCATAGCCGAATAGTGGTACAACACAAAATGGTTTTCTGTATAATTTAACTCGTCTGGATCGGGATTAAGGGACGCATTTTGGAATTAAATTTTTGAGGTTGGCATGTTAATGTGGTCAATTGATATTTTTGAGTTTTGATTAAAATTGGACCTTAAATTAAAATGGAAATGATAAAGCTTTACTTTTGTGGTTGTTACGAATCATTGGCGTGTTGCATGGGAAATTGGGGACTCTGATTGAATTTATTGTAGAATTCTTGAACTTTGAACTGGACTCTACAGATCCCATTTGCATCCCCTTGAGACCCGACGTGCTACTTAAGCTCTCTCCATATCCACAACCTTTAATCCCTAATATGTTAAACATGATAGATGCAAAAATCCTTTAATCAATCAACAAAAATTCACAAAAACATCAGCTGATTGTCATTGTCAAAGGAAAATAATCCGTCGTCGCAACAAAACTGACATTCATCCATGCGCAACACATTCAATAATAAATTTAGATGCTCATCAATAAGTTCCAACCACATGTTCATTCACATTCTCGTTAAAAAAAAGACCTGCAAAAATTGGCTCAATCGTCTACCACACATCCTTTCAACCACAATTGGCTACTTTTTTTTGTACGGTAAATTTTATGTTTCCACTTAATTGCTCTATCATTCAAAAATTGAGAAATTTGAAGTAAAAAAAAGGAACGACTCAAATTGAATCATTCTCACTTTGATTTAATTAAAAATGGCTTTTGAGTGATGTGGGAGCTAGCTCCTATTTATGGCAATGTTGAGATTTATTGAGAGACTTTGATTTAGATTGTTTGTGTCGATGACATTGGCACTTGAAAGATTTTTATGGATTTTCAATTGAATTGAACGATTTCACATCAAATCCATCTCTCAATCTAGCTCAACGATTTTCCCAGTTTGTGTTTCACACAATTCCATTTCAACCGATGATTTACTATGGAATTAAGTACTCAGTCAATACTGGTTATTGAGTTGATACTCTTATTTATTTATTTACAGAATCGATGATAATATTTTCCGCAAATAAGCATCAAATAAAAATAGAAGAGAAACGAGGTTGAATGAACAGAACTGAGCGACCTACTACGACAGTAAATGTATTCTATAGCACAGGCGTTGATAACATGATTTTGCTTTTTTTTGTCGATCAATATGGATTTATTGCTTTACATCATCATACTTTAATCATATTCACATGCCATTTGGTGCTGGTTTTAGGATGTAAAATAATATAACAGAAACATGAGATAGTAAATCGATAGCTGATAACGCCCACAATGCATTGAAAATTTCCTATCATCTTTACTTTTATGGGGTCTTTTGGATATGACGTCTATCAGAAAATGAGATTCTTTACTTATTGAGATTTTACAAAAATCTAGTATTGACTTAACATCGTTTAATGAAGGAAGTAATAAGTAAACGACCCTTTATCGGACATTTTTTTTTGTTCCATAAATAGAGATTTATTTTACTCATACGTGCGTAAGTACAACTGTATGACTTTATATTCTATATTGTAAATCACGCACGAGACTACAACTTTTGTAGTTGTATTTGATATGGAGAATATATTCTTGATTATAGGCACGCATTATCTTCACAGTTCACTTGGTAATTGAATTATTGAGAATATCAGAGAATATGAATAGAATTTATCATGCAGGAAGTTTCCTCGGTCAAGAAATAAAACCTATGATAGAAAACTTTATGACTGCAATAATGGAATTATCTTTCATGAGAATTGGATATTGAAGTTTGTTGATTGATTGATTGAGGGAAGAGCTACGATTGCTGACGTAGATTGACAAATCTTAACTGATGGGACTTAGCGGGAATTGAACACATGCCCTCTGTTGATCTCTGCACAGAAAATTGCGAGACCACAAGCTCTTATTCTAATTAAATAACGAAATGCTGTTCAAGATTGACATAATAAATTTAAAATCGAAATATATCTTACTTGATCCAACTAATTGACATTTTTACTATTCCATAATGTAAACTAAGCATCGATCCTCCCAACAAATCTTCACCACTTGTTCTAGCACAATAAATTTATTTACTACTTACAGCTTGTTGTAACCCACAAAGTAATTAATTTCTCAGAACACATAACCGCATGAAACTCAACATACTGCTATAGATTGGTATAGAACCCTCAAAGAATGCTGTCATTGATATATAATTAGAGCATAGCGACCTCAAATTTACTGTGCCATTAGACTGAGAAAATAAATAAATTATTTCAAGCATCAGTCTCATGTGACTATGTAGCTTAATGAAATCGAAAGAAGCGCATTTTGCTGTAAATATCAAGAAGATGTCAATATATAGCCGTGACATGCTATTTGCTATCATTTTAGAACGATAGCATGATTTGAGTTTATTTACATTTGTTATTTATAGATAGACTCGGAAGCAACATTTAACCTTAACATTTTAAGCAAGTATGACGCGTGTTGTCATGAGATTCAATGGATTTGTGGAGGATTAAAGCTGAAAGTAAATTGGAATTTTCTAAGGAAATAAAACCACAAGAATATGAGGTTGGAGGACTTCTGAAGGTAAATTGGATATTAAAAAATTAATTTTAAAGCTTGAAGATGGATGTAAAGAATGAAATTGCATGTAAAGTATGAATATACTTTTACTACATTCCGTGACTAATCCTCTTGAAATTGAATTTTTTTAGAGCTTTACTGTTTGG